AGCTGATTGTAAAGCATTCAAATGGCAGTCATATGACCACAGGACAGTGTGATAGTTATAAATGTGCACTGGTTGAAAAAGGACAGGAATGATGTTGGCATGACTGTGGGATGCTGCAATGGTTATAAATACAAGGATTGGTTGCAAAACTATATGCAGTGTGCATGTGTGTGTGTGTATGTGTGTGTGTACGTACATACACACACTTATACACACACATGCACACACACACACACACACACACCATTGTAACTTCAAGCAGTCAGTAAAAGAGGAAGTTGATAAGTGAAGACTATGTGTATAACACTGACTTCAGGGTTCATCTGAAGCCATAGTTTGCAGACCAGAAAACAAACTAAATTCACACTGCTGAAAACAGCATTATGACTATTCCATGTTAAAAGATTATCAGCACTTATTCTACTGCTTGAAAATAAGGTAAAGGTTCCCTCCGCCCCCCGCACATGCATGCTAGTTGTTTCCAGCTCTAGGGGGTGGTGCTCATCTCCATTTCTAAACCGAAGTGCCAGTATTATCTGAAGACGTCTCCGTGGTCATGTGGCTGGTGTGACTAAACATCAAAAGTGCATGGAGCGCTGATACCTTCCCACCAAGTGGTCCCTATTTTTCTACATGCACTTTTTAATGTGCTTTAAACTGCTAGGTTGGCAGAAGCTGAGACAAGTAATGGGAGCTCACTCCATTGTGTGGCGCTAGGGCTTCGAACCGCTGAACTGCAGACCTTCTGATAGACAAGCTCAGTATATTAGCCACTGAGCTATTGCATCCCTTGAAAGTATTCACGTTCTATTTCTATATCTTATAAATCAAGCTTATATTAAGTAAAATTTAAAGCTCATAAAATGTAGGGCATTTTAGTAAAATGTAGGCATTTTGGAAACTTGGGAGTGTACATTGAAAACATTTAGCATGAAAACATTAGGAAAATAATATAGAAAGGCATCAAATTGCTGTATACAGCTGTTATATTTTGGACACATTCTGTTCATCATTCTTTCCAGGGATGATACTTCTCAGCAAAACATTTCCTCCTATTTGTTACTCAGGTTATTGGGCACTTCGTTGCTTGGGCTTCTTGGGTACAAAATTCACCAGGAAAAAAATGGAATTGAAAATGGAGTGCATATCACAAAGCCAAAGGCATTTGCACATGCTGAATTTCTAACTAACAATGGTGCATATCTTGCTCCTGACTTACCTCTTTAATTAGATTCATAAAGCGGGTCCCAAACCTCCATGGTTTATGGCGATTACACTGTAATGAACTGACAGTCATCTGTGGAAACTGCTGGACAGCAACCGACACCACATGAACAGCATCATACATTAAAGCTGCATCTGTCTGAAATGAGAACACAATCAATGCTGTGAAAATGACCCAGAGAAATTGCATCACAGCTAGACAAGGAAAAGCAAGGCATACACTTTCCACCTTACCTTATGACAGAAGAAAGTGATAATATAGTTTTCTTATTAAGCGAATACATGATGATTAAATTATGCACTACACGAAGTATATGTTACTACAAATTTCATCTTCCTTTCTTTTACAGTAAGAAAAAAATGAGACAAAGAATCTGATTTGAACTGTGTGAGGGAATAGAAACATTTAAGGCCTTACTCATTCCTCTCAAATTAGGTTCAGGAATGGATTAAATCTGTCAGGTTCCCCTGCTCCCCAAATCGTTTTCTAAACAACGATTTCTAAATTTTGTTTAAATTCTTATTTGAGAACAACAAATTGAATGAAATTCTTCTTCAGTAGATAGAACTCTTGCTGGGATGATATAATCCTTCATTTTAAAGATTTTATGCTATACTTTATATTCAACAGCATTCCCAGAAAATATATACCCTGTTTCCTTGAAAATAAGACCTCCCAGGATAATAAGCCCAATCGGGCTTTTGAACACATGCACTACAATAAGCCATCCACTGAAAATAAGCCCTCCCTGAAAATATTGCAACACAGCAGCAGCCATGAAGTGACCACACTTGCTGCCTCCTGCACCTCAATAATGATAAGACCTCCACAAAAATAAGGCCAAGTGCTTATTTTGGGGATCAAAAGAAAATAAGACCCTGTCTTATTTTGGGGAAAACATGGTGTGTGTGTGTGTGTGTGTGTGTGTGTGTGTGTGTGTGTGTGTGTGTAATCCACAGATATTGCATATTTGTTCCTTCTGCATGTGAGTATAACTCTGCATCTCTTCTCAGAAGAAGCAGTAGCTTCTGTTCATTGACAAAATTAGTGAGCTGTGAAATGAATTAATTAACAATAGGAAGCCTAGAGATTACTGAATTTGTCATCACACAACACAGCCACAGAGTTAACTTTTGTCCTCCATACAAATTAATCCCAACTCACTTTACAATAAAACAAAACATTAAAATTGTAAAACTACTCTTAACTGTTAGGGACCATAAGATGGTACTAAAAGAGATAACATGCATTTAGATGTAAATGGGTCTCCCGTGGTGACATTTCCAAACTAAAAAGGGGAATAATTCTTCTGTTTAAAATGGGTTGTAGAACAACATTATGCAGTGTTTAAAACACCTGGAGTTGCTACCCACATGGTAGATTTGTAAAAACATCAGAGCCCCCAAAATGATTCATCGACTTATATTTCAAAGTGCTTTTAAGACTAATGTGAAACCATTGTGAGAGCCAAGTATCTTTTGAATCATGACATTACAATGGTAATTTGCTTTATGTAAGTGGAAATACTAGAAGAAGCATTTTATGTAATTTAAATCACATTCTATGCAATTTAAAGTTAGGAAACAAGCACAAAGTAACAATAACCACAAAAGATCCAAATATTTCTGAAAAATCTCTGCATTGATATTCAGCTTCTTCCACCATCCTACCTTAATGTACTATGCAGTAAGAAAATCCAGATTCCAACTGGATATATCGTCTTAACAAAATTCTGTATCAGTTTGATCTAAATTCTATGACAAGAATGTTCCATTCTTCAACCAAAAATGCCTCTATTATGCAGTATGTCTTGGGAATCAAGAGATAGATTGCTCATATTCTGTTTTTCACATTTTCACACATACCTATTTTAATGGGCTACGTTTAATAGATAAGTAGGGAAAGAATATATGGTAGATGCTGCTCCTTCTAGGAGCAAGGAAGATTTTTTTTAAAAGAATGTGGTCATGTACAAGTAGTCCTTCACTTACAACCACAAATGAACCCAAACTGAGATAAATGAGACAGCTACTAGGTGAATCTTGCTCCATTTTATCAGATTTCTTGCCACAGTTGTTAAGTGAATCACTGCAGTGGTAATTTAGTAACCCAGCTGTTAAGTGAGTCTGGTTTCCCCATCAACTTTGCTTGTCAAAAGATCACAAAAGGTGATCATATGACCATTGCAGTGTCATAAATATGAGTCACTTGCCAAGCATCTGAATTTTGATCACCTGGCCATAGGGATGCTGCAAATAGTCATACGTCACTTTTTTCAGTGCCATTATAATTTTGAATGGTCACTAAATGAACTGTTGTAAGTTGAGGACTACCTATATTGGCTTGGTGGTAGGAGAGAGATCAAATCTTCTTCCCTTTCCTTCAGGTGTTCTTGCTCCAACTATGGATAATTGTTAAATTATATTTACTAATCTCCAACCCACGTTTGTACAGCCAATAGCAAATAACCTTGGGGAGATGTTGTCTAAATTTTATTTAGAGAGTTTGCTGGCTGGGTCTGCTGAGAAATGAAATAAGGTTGAAAAGGTTTTATTCTTAAAGTAACAGAGAAGTGTTAAGAGAGAAGTGGACAAGGGGTGTAGAATACTTCATCAGAGTATCCTCCTGAGGTAGATAGACAGACATGGTTGACAAAAAGGTAGTTTTCAATGGACAGAGATAATTTGATTCATACAAATAATTTGGTGAAATTTTGAGGCTTTGAAATGATTTCTAAAATCATCTAGCAGTATTGATGTTTTTTTTTTTCCTATTACATCTTTTCCACATTAATTATACAACCTTAATATTGCTTCATTGCACTTCCAGTGCTGTGGAGAAATGTCAGTCTGATAATATTTTTAAAAAAATATAAATTGTATTTTCAAGTTTCTGCTGAAAATTTTCCATAAAATAATACCCTATCAGCACAAGGGAAGCACAACAAAATCAGATTTTTGTTCTAGATTTTGAGAGAGCTGACTTCAACAAAGTCAAAGAATAGGAGGATTTTATGGATGGAAATCCTATAAGGAGAAAAAAGTGCAGGATGTTTGAGAAAGAGAAAATAAAGGCCCAAATAAAAACAAAATAGAGAAAGAAAAACAGGACACGACAAGAGAATTCACTTCATATAGATGAAATAAATTATTCTATATTCCATGTTCTATTTTATATATATATATATATATATATATATATATATATATATATATATATATATATATATATATA